AAGACTATCCAACATTGTTGGAAGGGGCCTAACTGCAAAAGGATATTTGCCTGTCTCTGACACTTGTCTCTCCACCTACAATGGAAATCAAAGGCTTCCCAGGAATGAGAAGTCAGACCCCAGAGACAACTATCCCAAAACATCAAGGCCTGTGTACCTACAAATTAATGTTACACTGTTTCTTTGATTGTCTTTAACTATCTTCAAATATTGATAACTGTATTTGTTTGTTCCTTAAGAGTTTTATCAAACCTTGTATTATATATACAGCCCAACTGTTATTTGTTAAAAGTATATAAAATAACTTTTGTACTGTCAGTACTACTCTTGTAAGGTTTTGAAATTTAGAAGAAATGCTATTGTAAAAACAGATGTGTATTTTTGTTTTAGTTGTATTATTTTGTTTATATTACAGTTGTCCCAAATTTTTTGCCTTTGACCCCTCTACCCAGCCCCCACCCCCACTCCCACTCCCTCAGACAATTCCCACACTGTTGTCCACATCCATGAGTCTTGCATATATGCTCTTTGGCTACACTCTTCCCTGTGCTGTACTTTATATTCCCATGACTATTCTATACTACTAGTTTGTACTTTTTAATCCCTTCACCTTTTTCACCCATGCCCCCAACCCCACTCCCATTTGGAAACCATCATAACATTCTCTGTATCTATTCTTTCTGTTCTGCTTTAAATTTTTTTAAAATTTATTTTTAGAGAGATGGGATAGGAGGGAGAAAGAAACACCAATATATGAGAGACACATTAAAAGGCTGCCTCTCGCATGCCCCCAAGAACCTGGCTCACAACCCAGGCAGGTGCTCTGACCAGGAATTGAACTGGTGACCCTGTTTGTTGGCTGGCACTCAGTCCACTGAGCCACACCAGCCAGGGCTCTGTTCTGCTTGTTTATTTTGTTTTTTTTAGTCAGTTGTTGATAGATATGTATTTATTGCCATTTCATTGTTCATGGTTTTTATTCTTCTTGAAGACTCTTTAACATTTTATATAATACAGGTTTGGTGATGAACTCCTCTAGCTTTCCCTTATCTGTGAAGCTCTTTATATGCCCTTTGATTCTAAATGATAGCTTTTCTGGGTAGGGCAATCTTGGCTGTAGGACTGTTTTTCATGACTGTGAATAATTCTTGCCAATCCCTACCAGCCTGCAGTTTCTTTTGAGAAATCAGCTGACAGTTTTATGGGGGTTCCCTTGTAGATAACTGCTTTTAAGATTCTCCTTCTCTTTGTATTTAATCTTTTGCATTTTAATTATGTCTTGGAGTGGCCTCTCTGGGTCCATCTTCTTTGGGACTGCCTGTGCTTCCTGGATTTGTGTGCCTATTTCCTTTACCAAGTTAGGAAGTTTTTCTTTCATTGTTTTTTTCAAATAGGTTTCCAATTTCTTGCTCTTTTTCTTCTCTTTACACCATCCTTATGATGCAACTTGAAGTTGTCCCAGAGGCTCCTTACACTATCCTCATTTTTCACGGGGGAGTGGATTCTTTTTTTTTCCTTGCTGTTCTAATCGGTTATTTTTGCCTCCTTATGTTCCAAATTGCTGACTTGATTCTTGGCTTCATCCACTCTACTGCTGATTCCCTGTAATTGTGCTTTATTTCAATCAGTGCACCCTTTGTTTCTGATTGCATCTTTTTTATGCTATTGAGGTCCTCACTAAGTTCCTTAAGCGTCCTTATAACATGTGTTTTCAACTCTGCATCTAGTAGATTGCTTGTCTCCATTTTGTTTAGTTCTTTTTCTGGAGTTTTGTTCTGTTCCATTTGGGCCATGTTTGTCTCTTCATTTTGGCAGCCTCCCTGTGTTTGTTTTTAGGTATTAAGTGGAGCTACTGTGTTTCCCAGGTGTGATACAGTAGGTGTCCAGTGACCCAGCCTCCCCTAGTACCTAAGCTGGGTACTCACTGAGTGGGCTGTGTATAGCCTCCTGTTGTATGAAGTTGAGCCTTGATTGCTGTTGGCATCTCCAAGGTCAGCTACCACCTGTGTTCTGTCTGTGGTCACACAGCATTAGCTACAAAGCAATCCGCAGATGGCTGCTACTTGTGCTGGGCCTAGAGGTTCCCAGTAGAGGCCAAGCTGTTAACCACAGACATCTGCTTCTAGTGCCAGGCCTGGGGCAACTTAGTGAAAGGTATGGGGTTCACTGAAGCCAAATGCTGCTTGTTTGAGATAATTTAGGAAAATCTGAAGCATCAGCCAAGACAAGCCATCTGTATGGAAAAGCCACAAAACAACTTGGGTGGGTCAGGGCCTCAGGGAAACCACCAGGTTGGGGTAAGCAGTGTGACCCAGGTTGATGGAGTCTCAGATATTGTACCCTGTTGCTGGCTCTGTGGTGGGAGGGCTCAGGAAAAGAACAATGGTCTCTGTCAGCACATCTGTTTGGGAGAAAGCTACCTGTCTCTCACCATGATGCCAGATAATTCAGCTCCTCCCTGTATGTCTCTGATGCCTTTCAAGCTGCTGCCCCAGTGCTGTGGCTCAAGAGTAAATCTGAGCACATCTGTGTGCAGGTCCTTTAAGAACTGCCTGGGATTCCAGCATTTTCTGCCTTCCAAAGCCTCAATCCCTACTGGTTTTTACAGCCAGAAGTCACTGGACTTATCTTCCTGGCACTATAACCTTGGCCTTGGAAGCCTGTTGTGGGGCTGGGATCCCTGGCCCCAGAAATAGCCCTCTGGATTTTTATCTGCCATATGTGGGTATGGGACCTGACCCTCCTACAAATCTTGATGTGGTTTCTTCAATTTCATAGTTGTAGGACTTCCATTTAGTTCCGTTTATGAGGGGTTTGAATGGTTGTTTTTTCTATAGCTTAGTTGTAACTTTGATGTGGCTGTGTGAAGAGGCGAGCTGTGTTTACCTATGCCACCATCTTGACCGGTTGTCTGATGTACATATTTATAAAGGTTATAAAAAATTGTCCTAAATATGCCTACCACATAACCCAACAAATTCTACTAACTGTTGCTTCAAATAAGAGCTGAAATGAAAATGTAAAAAAATTTTAAAAATCTGGAAAAAAGCTGAAATGAGTATAAAAACATGGCTATCCATAACTGCTGCTGAGGCACAGAAAAATTTACTTACAAAACTCTTCCTGTTAACTTGGATTCGGAGATTTTTAAATGGTAATTATAATTTAAAACATTGTGTTCTTACAGCCTTGGATCTAACTTAAGGTTACACCTTCCAATTACACAACTATTGGAAATCAAATTAATAACTGCACTTGAGTGCTTCCATTGGGAAGTAAATGGTCTATAATAAATAAAAACCCATCTCATGTCAGATTATGAAAACTGAAAAGGTATATGATGTACCCTTAAACTGTAAGTGAATGGTATACTAGATACAAAATATAAAAAAAACGAGGGGGGTGGGCTGGGATGGGAGTAAAACACAGAAAACTGTACTGGAACCACAATTGAAATAAAATAAAAAAAAATAAGTAAAAAAATACACCCCCCCCCCCCCAAAAGCCAGAAACAAAACAAACAAAAAATAAGATGAGACAGTCAACAAAATCTGAATTGTGATAACTCAGGTTAGAAATGATCCAGAGTTTTTCTTAATAAAGGTCCATAAGACCTGACAGCTTCCCATTTACCTGCATTTCACTTTGGAAAAAATTTGGCCAAGACTTCCATCCAAGGTTACAGTCTTGCCCCATTGCCAATGATAAATCACTCAATAAGACAAACACCAACACTAGAGCTTCCTGAGAGTAACCCTTCCTAGCAAAATGGACCCTGTTATCCAACAAAAGGTTGGTCATCAGTGCATACTGTGAACTGATTTACAAGGAAAAGGAGATGTGGGGGAAAAAGCTATACGCTCAACCTGACAAGCGGAGGGGAGCCTGCTTGGTGGCCTCTCAAACTCTGACACTTAAACTGACCACATAGAAAAGTTTTAAACCTAACTAAAAGCAGTTCATGGCAGGTAGTCATGTCCTGGGCCGGAATTTTTGCCTAACAAAGGTTAGTCTCTACCTTAACTGAGCCTCTCTGTTGTCTTTTTGCATCTATGACAACATACTTTCCAAATGTCGTATTTCCTTTTTCCAGACCCCTCAAAGCACAAGCTGGCACCAGGGGGAAACCAAAAATCCCTTCATTGTTACTGTTATCACGCTAATTGCTGGCTATTATCTATCTTGTACCCACTTGTGTAAGAGTGTCTACCATTTTACTTTTTATCCAATCCCAGGTTTCCCCACTTTGCTTACTCCTGCCTCCCTAATCTATTGCCAATGCATTTCATGTAACTCAGTTACCAGCCTCTTTTGATTGTAATGTATAAATTAAGGTGCAAAACTGTCATTCTCTGTAGCATTATCTCAACTTGTTGAGCTTTTGCTTCCCAGCAACTGCTGTCAGTTTAGCTCAAATAAACTAACCAAAAATTCTCTATAGGGTTAAATGTTTCTTATGTTGACAATTTCATCTCTATTTTACTACAAAAAATACTAATGTAAATGTAAAGGAATAATATTAAAGAATAAACCCAATGTATATATTTTACTATTAATAGATTAGAAAATAATTACTCTGTTAAGTATCTTTTACTGGACACAAATATACAGTTTTATTTTTATACCATTATTATTTGATTCATCTTTCCAGTTATTTGAAAACAAAATATATCGATATCTGGATCTTTCATGTAATACAGACATTTAGTAAAATATTATGAGGATGATAAAGATTCTAGAATTGAAAGAAACTATTGGGTAGTTGCTTATATTCCCCATGAGTAGAAATTGATAAAAATACATCCAATATTAAGTTGTTCAAGTACCCAGACAATTCATGAAAAGAAATTACCATTTTATAGAATTTATATACACATCATGGATTTGTTAACTGAAAGTATAGGTATATATTAAAAATATATATATTAAACACATAACTAAAAGACAAATAAAAGATCCAGAAAGTACTACCCAAGAAAGTACTACTTAGCAGACTGTACCATTGCTCTTCTCTAAGGCTTGCATTGTGTCAGGGTCCAAGGCAATGCTAACAAGCAATTCCATGTAACTCTTAAAGGTTTCCTTCATTGCTCTTGTGTTCAAAAAACGAGTGACAAAAGGAGCTGGAGGATCAAATTCTGGGAGGGAGAAAAGATGAAATATTAAATATTCCTTCCTCACAAATTTAAAGCATATTTCTCTATAACAAGACTGTATAAGAAGATTAAAGGTTGTAAAGAAAATTTCTCAAATTAGGGTTCTCCCACTCTGCCCTAAAATCACCCAGGTGAAAAACTGACATGGTTTCCACATCTCAATTGCTTGTAGAGCTTTTAAAACAAAACAAAACAAAACAAACCACCCCCCAGGTTGTTAGACTTATTGAAACAGTCTTTTGGTGGAGAGGTAGTTGCAATGAAGCTTAAATATATTTTACAGAAGGTTCCTAGGTGACTCTGAAGTGGAAACATCAGCCTCATTGGACCCTATTTGTCCGCCCTGGACCCACCACAGACATCAGGTGCTGGGTTGTGTTACTCCAGAATGGTGGTTTCTCTGTACTTAAGTAGTAAAGAAACTGTAAGACATCCAGTGGACGAATTAACAGATATTTCTTCTTTTCACTTCTATACTCATATCACTATAAAAGTCTGGACTAGAGCCCTGGCTGGTGTGGCTCCGTGAATTGAATGCCAGCCTATGAACCAAAGGGTCACCAGTTTGATTCCCAATCAGGGCACAGGCCCAGGTTTCAGGCCAGGTCCCCAGTAGGGGGCGAACAAGAAGCAACTGCACATTGATGTTTCTCTCCCTCTCTTCCTCTCTCTCTACAAACAGGTAAATAAAATCTTTAAAAAAGAAAATTCTAGACTAGGGCCAAGACATTAAAAAAATTTTAATGTAAACATAGCCGTTGCTTAGAGAAAATTTCTCTAAAATTCGATGGCAATAACTGCAAGATTATAAGTATCAATTTTGTTTTTCCCATTCCAATGTATGACCATTATCACAGATTTTAACAACAGTTACTGTTTCACGATATTAAGACGTTATATATTTTTCTTACTCTGCTGACATTTGAAAATGTGGGGTATAAATGCTGGTGTCTTACTTAGCGTGAATTAAGGGAGTGACACCATAACTGTCTAGCAGCCATATATTTGCCATGATTTTGTCATCTCACTGCCATGAATTTGAAGGGGGAAAAAAGCCAATTCATGTACTAGTCCATGATAAAGCAGTAAAAATTAATTGTATTGTATCTTTCCTCTTGAGTAATAACTTAATATTGTTAATAGTAGTATGCAGTGTAATGAAATAAGAGGTATATATAAAGCATTTCTGCTATGAAATATGATGGTAATGTCCAGGAAGACTATCCATACAATTGTTTGAGTCACAAAATAAACTAGACACTCCCCACCCCCCATGGGACACCATTTTTATCTGAAAGAATGACTGACAGACACAGCAGGCCTATTCAGATTAGGTACTTAGCAAACATTTTTCTTAAATATTAATGAAATGAATCTGTTACTACCAGGAAAATAATGGTATTTATTGCAAATAATAAAATTTGAAATTTGAAGTGAAAATTAGAATTCTGAAAAACATACCTACCACTGTGATCTTGACAATGTCCCAAAACTTAAGGACTTCACCAGTGAGAACAGTGATGGTATTAATAAATGTTAGTTTTGGTACTATAAACATGTATGACCAAAATGTAAGCTAAAACCATGAAACCTTACAAGAAAATGTAGTAGTAAATCTTTAGGACCTTGGATTTGGCAGTGAATTCTAAATATGACACAGAAAGCATGAGCAGTAGAAAAAATATATTTGGCTTCATTAGAATTTCAAACTTTGTGTGCATTAAAGGACATTAGCAAAAAAGTGAAATGTCAAACTACAAAATGGAACAAAATATTTCAAAATCATATATAGTTATACCTCAGTACTCATCGGCTTCAGACCTCATCAAACCCTGTACTCTTCACATTTTGACAAGAAAATGTTTCAGCACTTGGCGCTTGCTTGGGACTCCTTACACTTACTAGAACTTGTATGAGTTACCACACTGCAGGAGAAAATGCTTTATCATTCAGTACTTGTCAATTTCAGCATTTGTCACAAGTTCCAGAATGAATTAACGATGAGTACTAAGGTACCACACTATCTAATAAGGGTTTAATATCTAGAATACACACACAAAAAGACTGCCTAAAACTCAAGAAAAGGAGAAATGACCCAATTAAAAAGTGGGCAAAGGATTTCAATAGACATTTCTGCAAAGATAAGCAAATACATGGAAAGATGTTCAAAGACATTAGTGGTTAGGGAAATACAAATCAAAATCACAATGAGATATTTACAATAACAATTGTTGGTGAGGATGTGAAGAAATAGGAACCCTTATGCACTGTTGGGAGGAATATAAAATGGTGCAGCCATATAGAAAATAGTTTGGTGGCTCCTCAAAAAGCTAAACATACAATTATCATATAACTCAGCAATTCCACTCATAAGGTATACACCCTATAGAATTGAAAAGAAGGACACAAACAGATATCTGTATGCCAGTGTTCGATGCAGCATTATTTATAATAGCCAAAAGGTGGAAACAATCCAAGTGTCCATCAATAGATAACAAAATGAACATACAGTGGATACACTTACAATGTAATAATACACAGCCATAAAAAGGAATGAAGTTCTTTTACATGCTATAACCTGGATGAACCTTGAAAACATGCTAACTGAAACAAGCCAGGTACATTTACATGAGATATTTAGTATAGAGGCTTAATAGTTACAAAGTTTCTGTTTGGGATGAAGAGAAGTTTTGGAAATAGCTGTGGTAGTTGCATAATAATGTGAATAAATTAATGCCACTGAGTTGTACACTTTAAAATGGTTAACAAGGCAAATTTTGTTACATTTTACAACTTTTTAAAATGTGAAAAACTGGCCCTGCATGAGCGTGAATCACTTGGTTGAAGCATTATCCCACACACCAAAAGGCTGTGGGTTTGATACCCTGTCAGGGCACATACCTGGGTTATATGTTCCATCCCCAGTTGGGGCACATATGGAAGGCAGTCAATTGGTGTTTCTCTCTCTCTCTCCCCCCTCCCTCTCTCTATAAAAATCAATAAATATATATCCTTCGGTGAGAATTTTTTAAAAAGTGAAAAAAATGAAATAGAATATGTATGTCAATGAGCAAACAAACCAATGAAATGTTATAAAATCATTTATGGATAAAAGATATATTCAAAAGGTAGGATAAACCAAGATTTTAATGTAACAAGCAAGAAAAGTTGAAGAAACTACCACTTGTCAAGTTTATCAAGTAAAAAACTTTCCTTGAGTAGCAAATAAAAATATCCATAATTATCTGAGAAGGTAATTAAAATACTCCTTTTCCCAACTACATATCTATGTAAGGCTGGGTTTTCTTCACATGCCTTAACCAAATTATGTAACAAACTAAATGTAGAACCAAATATGAAAATGCTATTCTTCTAAATACTGTTAACTTAAGAACACACAATTGTTCAAAAAACTTATTACCTAATAGATTTATTTTAAATAAATATTTTTAAAATTTCTATTTAATTGATGATATTTGGTAAATATCAATTAATCCACAAAAGCTAAGTGTTTTGGAATCCTCAGTACATTTGAAGATTATAAAGAAGTTCTGAAACAGTTTGAAAACCATCAGCTTATAAATTTATATTTATTATTAATATTTGTTTTTTTAATAAAAAGTACTAGAAACTTTTGCCTAACTTTAAGTGACACCTAGTGGTAACTCATGTTACCAATGAAACCAATTTTATCATTTAAGAAGGAAAAAGAAAAGTTTTATCTTGATTGTCCTTTGGGGAATTTAATGTAAGCTCAGAACCCAAACCTCTGTATTCTAAACAGGATGTAGGAATGCTAACTGCAAAAATTATGTATAATGCTTTGCTTACATACTAAAAGCATTAAATTTCTTTAGAAATTTTGATAAGCACATTTCTAAACAACCATTCCTAAGTAGGATTTAAAAACAATACATTTTAAGTCAACTTTTGCACCAAAGTTTTCAAAAAAATATTTTATTTATTTTAGAGAGAGGGGAAGTGAAGGAGAAAGAGGGGGAGAGAAACATCAATGTGCAAGAGAAACATTGATTGGTTGCCTCTCACAGGCTCTCTCTCAACCAGGGACCTGATCCGCAACCCAGGCAATTGCCAGGAATCAAACTGGTGGCCTTTTGGTTTGCAGGACAACACCCAGCACACTGAGCCACACCAGTCAGGGCTGAAAAAGAATTTTTGAGATGATTCTTTTCCAATTCAAATAATTTCTAAGATGAGCTCCCAAGCAATGATACTTACAATGTCAGAAACCATTCTCAATAAACAGCACCCCCAGTACCCAATTCATCGTTCAAGTTCTGCCAAGATTATAAATTCAGTTTCTCAAATGCATCCCCTCCCCTCCCATCCATCCATCCATCCATCCATCCATCCATCCATCCATCCCTGCTGCCACAAGTTAGGTTCAGACTTTCAATTTATAAGTGAACTATGGAGTCTTGTAATTCAGTTTCAAATTTCTCATGAAGCTTCCTACTTAAATCCTTCCAAAGACTCCTTTGCTTACAGGATCCAGAGCTTTTTGACTTTAGCATGACACACAGTTTTCCATCAACCTTTCATCTTTTTCTTCCTACTTTCAACTTTATGCTCTAGAGGAGGGGCCAGCAAACGTTCTCTGTAAATGGCCAGATAGTAAAGACTTGAGGCTTTAAGGGTCATATGCTCTCTGTAATAACAACTACTCAAACCTGCCAACTGCCACTTGCAGTTGGAAAGCAATTTTATGAAAATATGCAAATGGATCAGTTTTCTAATAAAACTGTATTTATAAAACAGGCTGCAGATTAGATCTGGCTCTCTGGCCATAGTTTGCACATTTGCTCTAGACTACTGAAACATTTGACATTTCTTGTGTATATTATACAGGAAGTACTGATGCATTCTTGTGTTTTACAAGCACCTCAGGTTTTACTTATAATAAAGTAAGTATCTATATCCAGCCTACATAAATGTTATTTGATGTCCTTGTTTTTAAGAATGTACAATGGTTCTAAGGTAAAAAAAGAAAATTGATAACTGTTAATCTATTTCATCCTTTTCATGTTACAAAAGTAAGGCACAGAGCGGTTACCTAGCTTAGCCATGGGCAAACAGCTGGCTAGTGGCAGTATGCATTGTAGTATATATTATATACTATATAGTATAGTAGTATGCATTTATAATTGATAAAGATTCCATATAGATGGACGTATACATTATTATATAACTATATATAGTTTCAGAGTTGCTCCTTCCTAGGTTTTACTGTTGTAGCATAAACACAAACTCTGAAGTTTAGAATTAGAGGACTCTTAGTAAATCATGTGATCTAACACTCATCCTACCCAAAGAGGTGAGATAGCTGTCATTCTAAGGCTAGAATTCATAATGTTCTTTCACTTCACTGCATTTTCTATTTCACAAAGCTGTATGCGTAAGCAAACTGCTCAGGGAAAGTAAATTTATTTTTATAAAAGTCTAAGCAGAACTTACTAGGTAGCTAAATCCCCTAAAAAAATAAATCCTGAATTGTCAGCATCACTGCTCCTCCCCATTTATGCAGATAATTTAAGTAATGAAGGTATTCATTTCATGGAGAACTCACCCTCATCATCACTATTAGAATGGATTTCAGGAGATGACTCAGATTGGGATGATGAAAATTCTTCTTTCCATTTCTTCCGTTTCTTTGGTGGTGGCTCAGCCTTTACTTTTAGCTGTTTACCTTTGGGTTTTATGGAAGGGGCTTTTGTAGTTGTAGTTTTTGGTGTTGGAGGATCAGAAGTTTTACTGCTATTACTAGGCTTAGCCTGAACAGTTCTGCAATGTTATAAACAGACTTCATTAACACACTGAAACTTTGATAAATTAAAATAAATTAGACAAAAGGAAAAAAAAAGAGGGAGGTGGGGACTGGTTGAAAGGTGAGGGGATTAGTCAAAGAACATGTATGAATGACCTGTGCACATGGACAATGGTGTGGGGATTGACTATGGGAATGGGGGGTGGGCCCTGGTGGGGAGTGGGAAAAAAATTGGGAAAACTGTAATAGCATAAACAATATTAATTAAAAAAAAGAACCACTAGAGAAGAAAAGTTTAACTACCCCAACAATACCTCCAAAATAAAGTCCAAGTCCTACATATCTCCAATGATGATTTCCCCCTAATTCTCTGGAAATACATTCTTTAACTATTAACATTCAATATTCAGTTATTAAGGGACTACTATTCAATCAATATTTCTCTCTCTCCAGCCCAAGTATGAGGTTGTACAACAGATCATCACTGGGCTTTGGGAAGTAATGCATGATAAAAACCCTTGATAGCCACATCTAGCTCTGAACATCAGAAACTCTCACAGGTGGTGCAGGTTTTGATATGGAGACACAACTCCATCTATCCTGAGCCCCTTAAGATTTGCTGTGTGCTAGTTCTAGAGACTTGAATGGATCAAATTCATTACAAAAATAAGGTGGGTTGTTTCCAATGAGTTAGAATTTTAATTAAACTAGACCTTCATGGACAACAGTGTAGTGATTGCTGGGGGAGGGGGATGTAAAGGGACTACATGGTAATGGAAAGAAAATACAATGAAGATTAAATCAAACAAATTTTAAATAAATAAGCAAGTAAGTAAATAAACTCAACCTTCCTAGCACTAGGTTGAGAATAACTAGTTACAGTCCCTTTTCCATACAGATCACAGGGCATGTGTGTAGGTCAGTAATCTTCCAGACTCATGCTCCAGACAACTCAGAGTTACATTAATATATAATGATGACTCTACTGTATACTTGCTTAGTGTTATACAGGTCTTATTTTTTCTCAAAATTTATATTATTTTAAATTTGACAGCATCAATACTTTCATTTTATATATAATAAAGGTTATCTGACTAGGTCTCAAAAAGCTGGACTCAAACCTTTTGTCTCCAAATTCTTTTTTGTCCCCTCACTACATTAGGGTGACACCAAAGGACTCAGAGTAGAAAAAGGGTTCCCATCCCACTACAAATAGCCATGAACTTTATAATTCCTGCCTTGTTACTTCAAAAGGAATCTATTATTACATAGGGCACTGAATTTTTAGACTGGTATATAATGAAAAAAAAATCAATCTTTTTAATTGATGTAATTCTTTGTACAAGACACCACCAACAATAAGCCTTCCAATAATTACTAAACAAATATATTACATAAGAAAATAAATACCTGATAGTCTGCGAAGGCTTACTTCTTGGCTTTTTGGAACACACTCTGACATACTCCTTTTTGTTTGTGTTTTCAATGAACTTCACATATATCCTTTTGTATTTACTCTTCGCGTCTCCAAAATATCCAAGGTACTAAGGAAAAGACCACTTTGAATTACATAATTATACATTCTGTACACAGACTATATTACTTTGTCAGCCTGACTGTCACATAACCATTCTTCAAGTTTTTCAAAATGCAGCTCTTGCCAGGCCAATTTCACTCTCTATAAAAATGGTCCTTAACTGCAGGCCCCATACACAGAAGCCATCTCGTTTGGCTAATGATCAGATGCTTATTTAACTCAATGATACTAAACACGTACATGAGCATGAAAGAATAACTTCTGCAAGTCCTCTGGTAAATCAGGGTATTTGGCAGAATAAGAGTCTCTGAGCCCCTCTAACTCATCAGTGACTAGCACTAATTTCTTTCCTTTATTAGAGAATAAGAAAAGGTTAAGCAACAGTATAAAATGATTTAGTTTTAAGTAGCTGGTATCTGTAAATTTAGTTTAAAATCAGTCCATCAGAGAGTATCTCATACAGGTGCACCAAGTTGTACTGCACTACACAGATACTGTGTTTTTTAGTGAATTGAAGGCAAGGCCTTCCACCAGCAAAAAGATTGCAGTATGCGATGCTCTAGAACTGAACCTGCAATCTCTCTGAGGTGTGCCTGTACTCTGTAATTCAAACTTTATGCTATTTTATATTAGAAATGCTCAATATAAAATGTTTAAATATTCTATATTTTCCTCAGGATCACTGTCAAAAAAAAATGAAAGCTAATATAAAAAAGCATTTGCTTACACTATTTGTAGCAGCAAATTCTCTTTGCCCATCTCGAATTTCAGGAACAAACTTCTGTAATAAAGCTTTTTGTACTTTCCAAATAGCTGGGGGTTCTCTTCCTGTTTTTAAAGCCTCCTGTAATATGCAGAATTCATTACATTTACAAAAAGTAACAACATATTCTAGATTTATAGAATCTTCAGAGCTGAATGAAATCATTAAAAACTATGTAGCTCAACCTTTTATCTTTACCTAGCTGAACTTTTATACTCATTCTTATAAGCTGGCTGTTCAATCTCTGCTTAAATTCTCCAAGAAATAGGTAGCACACCAACATGCAGAGCAGCCCAGCACCCTTTTGTATAGCTCCCAGAAAATTTTCCTCTAATGATACTGTCATCTATTATTTATCCTGAGATATTAACAGCAGCTAATTGTGAATAAAACTAATACAGATACTTGAATTTTGTACTTTCTAATGTCATTCCTCACTGCCCCAATTAAAAAATAAAACCAAAATCAAGCAAACAGAAACTCAAACACAGGTTTTCTTAAACATAGCTAAAATTTTCTTATATGAAATTGTAGCCCTGGCCACATAGCTCAGTTGGTTAGAACATCGAAGCCTGATATGCCAAGCTTGTAGGTTCAATCCCCGGTCTGGACACATATAACAATCAACCAGTGAATATATCAGTAAGTGGAACAACAAATCTATAGTCCTCTCTCTTAAATCAATATATAAAAATTAAGAAAAAAACCTGTTAACATTCTACTCATGGTTCTGTAATTTGAAATTATAAAAATACATCTAACTCTACTTATATTATATTCCTGTTACTTTCTTTAAATTATAAAATTAGATAAATAGCTATTTTCTCCAAACTCCTAATAATACAATTAGTTGGGAGTCTTCAAAAACAATTAACATTTCAAAACTTCTCTAATCACTACTACATAAATAACATACTGACTAGTCAGAAATATATTAAACTCGGCTATAAGTTAAAATTATCTTAAGCTATTTTCTTTTGTACAGTATCTGATATCTAGTAGTGATTTTATTATTTAACAATTACAACAGAGTAATTGAAAATACAACTTGTTGCACTTCAAGCTAGATATATGCTATTATAGTCATCATGAAGGTTAATAATGCGCTCCCACCAGACTATAACCTTTATACTTTACATTACCTTAAAAGTCTCTATGTCTTCTATCTTTAACACAAACTCATCGCGTTCTCTGTATTGGCCTTCTCCTCCACTTTCTATGTTCTCATCATCTGTAAAACCTTCTATGGCAACAGTGTCCTGTCCTTTTGCACATTGGTTTGAAGGAAGACCATCAAGTTCGATGGGTTTTGGGAGTTCTGTAGAGCTTTTATTTTCCAGGATATTTACTGCCGATGAAGTTGTACCCACAGTGGTGGAGGAAGTAGCAGCAGTGCCAGTAGTATTGGCAATCAGGCTAGTAGTTGCCACCTGTACGACTTCTGAAACTAGATAAAGCAAATGCAAAAAAAAAAATACAAATAATAAAACATTTGTTTTGAAGAAACCCTAACAGTTTAAAAAGAAACACAATTATTTTTGCCATCAAATTATTTGAAACAATAAAAACTGCAGTAAGAAATTAAAGAATGGTTGTTAATTTTCAATAAAGTGGTGAGAATCACAGACAGCTACACTGACCTACACTGACTGTAAGTCCACTTAACTAGTGCAAAAATATTTTTTTTTAGAAATAGACACACAAAAGTGCTGCAGGATAAGTAAAGGTCATATGACCAGAGCTGTGAAAAATTCCTAGAAGAAAAGCAGATTGGATGTGGAAAAGGAAAAAAATACCCCCCAAATATTTTGTATCAGCACTAGAAGCTACAGAAATAAAAAGGATTAATACATAATAATCTGAAACACTGTATCCTAACAACTTAAATGAAACAAATTTCCTAGGAAGACAAAACTAATGAAATGGACTCAAGAAGAAATAGAACATCTGAATAGATCAGGAGGTTTCAACCAGTGTGCAGCAAGAATTTTGAAAACGTGCAATACCTGACTCTTCAGTCAGGGGTACTTTTGCCTTAGATTGTCAAATAAAAAAATGACAACAGCCAACACAACAGCAGCCATCCAGGTGAATGAATCAAAATTATACCTATTTTTTGGTCAGACCAGCAAAAAATACATTGTTTGTTGTGCTGCATTTTTTTATTTTAGTTTATGTGTGCCATGAGAAGAAGGTTGAAAATCACTAAAACAGACCAATAACAAATTTTTAAATACTTTAAAAACATCCCACAAAGATAAGCACAGGCCAAACTGGGTTCACAGAGGGGTTCTCCCAACAGTTGAATAAGACCACCAATCCATCAGAAACTCCAAAAAATAGGGGGAAATGCCTCCAAACATATTTTATGAAACTAGTATTGTTCCAATAGCTAAAACGCACAAAACATCGTGAAAGAACTGCAGACCAGTATTCCTTATGAATATAAACAAAATTATTCAACAACATGAGAAAATCCACCAACATGTAAAAAGAATTATATACCATTATCCCAGTGGGTTTTGCCCTTAGAATGCATGCTTAGGGATCATCTCAGTGGGCACAGAAATAAGCAATTCAGCATCATGAATAAATAATTTCATGATAAAAAACACTCAGCAACCTAAAAATAGGAGACTTTCAGCCTGATAAAGGACATCTGTCCACAAAAAGCCCATCCATAGTTAACATCACAGTAAAATGGTAAAAAACTAGGTGTTGCCTCCTAAGAAGGTTATTTGAAGAACTAAAACTGCCTTGTTTTATTGCTGGGGGGGGGGGGGGGGGCTGTGCTTCTAAAATATTGCATGTTTACAAATGTAAAGTTTGTGGCAACCCTGAGTCAAGGAAATCTATCATCAGCACCATTTTACCAATGGTATTTTCTCTTCATGTCTGTATCTAGTGCTTCTCCCAAAATTTCAAACTTTTTCTTTTTTCTCTCTCTCATGTCAAAAGCTAAGACAGGCTGAAAGCTAGGCATCTTATGCTAAGCAGTTATGAATGCAAAAGAAAAGTTCTTGAAGGAAAAAAAAAGTGCTACTCCAGTAAACACATAAATGATGGTAAAGCAAAACAGCCTTCTTGCTGATAGGAAGACACTTAGTGATTTGGGTAGAAAATCATACTAGCCACAACATTCCCTTAAGCTAAAACCTAACCCAGAGCTAAGACTCTAACTCTCTTCCTTCAGTTCTGTAAAGGCCAAGAGATGTAAGGAAGCTGCAGAACAGTTTGAAGCTACCTGAGATTGGTTCATGTTTAAGGAAACAAGCTGTCTCTGCAACAACAGTGCAAGGTGAGCAGCAAGTGCTGAGGTAGAAGCTGCAGCAAGTTATCTGGAAGATACAGCTAAGATAATTGATGAAGATAGCTACACTAAACAATAGATTTTCAGTGTAGATGAAACAGCCTTCTACTGGAAGAAGATGCCATCTAGGACATCTAGAGAGGAAGTCAATGCCTGTCTTCAAATTTTCAAAGGACAGGCTGACCCTCTTGTTAAAGGCCAGTGCACCTGGTAACTCTAAGTTAAAGCCAACGCATGTTTAGCATTCTGAAAATCCTACAGTCCTCAGGAATTATACTAAACCTACTCTGCCTGTGCTCTATAAATGGAACAATAAAGGCTGGATGACAGCACATCTGTTTACAACATGGTTTACTGAATATTTTAGGCTCACTATTGAGATGAACAGCTCAGAAAGAATTCTTTCTCCCTCCCTTCCCCTCTCTCTAAAAATACACAATATATATACATATACACACATACATATATATACACATATACATATATATATATAAAAGAACATTCATGATTTGTGGGAAGAGATCAAAATATCAACATTAACTGGATGTGGATCCTTCGTGGATGATTTCAGTGATTACGTCTTCAGTGGAGGAAGTAACTGCATATATGGTAGAAACATCAAGAGAATTAAAAGTGGAGTCTGAATATGTCACTGAATTGCTGCAATCTTATGATTCATCTTTAACAATGAGGAGCTATTTCTTTCAGAGATTATGGAACAGACAATAAAAGATTTAGATTACATAAACTTACTTGATAAGGCAATGGCAGGGTTTGAGAAGACTGACTCCAATTTTAAAAGAAGTTCTACTATACACAAAATGCTGTCAAACAGCTGTGGCTGATGTGGCTTAGTGGATTGAGTTGCCAGCCTACAAACCGAAGGGTTGCTGGTTCAATTGCCAGTCAGGGTACATGCCTGGGTTGTGGGCCAGGTCCCCAGTTGGGGTATGAGAAACATTGATGTTTCTCTCCCTCCCTCCCTCCCTCTCTCTCTAAAAAAAATAAATAAAACTTAAAAAATGTTATCAAGAGCCTGGCTGGCGTAGCTCAGTCGATTGAGCACAAGCTGCTAACCAAAGTGTCACAGGTTCAATTCCCAGTCAGGGCACATGCCTGGCTTGCAGGCCACGGCCCCCAGCAACCGCACATTGATGTTTCTCTTTCTCTCTCTTTCTCCCTCCCTTCCCTCTCTAAAAATAAATAAATAAAATCTTAAAAAAAAGTTATCAAACAGCATCACATGATAACAGAGAAATTATATGTAAGTCAATCAATGCAGCATTTTTTTTAGCAATTAGGTACATTTTAAAGTACATACATTGTTTTTTTATATAATGCTACTGTATACTTAATAGACTACAGTATAGTATAAGTAAAGTTTTATATGCACTGGGAAACAAAAAAGTTTCATGTGACTTGCTCTATTGTGAATTTTGCTTTACTTTGGTAGTCTGGAACTGGACAAGCAATATCTCTGAGGGATGACTGTATTTACAGATGACATGATCTTCCATATACAAATCCTTAGGATTCCACTAAAAACCCATTAGAATTAGTAGGTTCAGCAACTTTGCAGGGTACAAGATCAATATATAAATATCAATTGTGTTTCTATATACTTGCAATGAACCATCCAAAAATGAATTTAGGAACACAATTCCTTATAATAGCATCAAAAAGAAAACATTTAGAAATAAAAGACAAAAGAAGTGCAAAGTTTACCCTCTGAAAACTATAAACATTGTTGAAAGAATTATAAGTTTAAATAAGTAGGAAAATATCCCATGTTGATGGATCAAAAGACAACATTATATGGATGGCAACTCTCCAAAGTAAGCTATGGAATCGAGTACATAAAACTAGGAATGAAACAAGACTGACCATATGTTGATGATTACTGAAATACAGTGATGCATTATATCAATCTTTGTACTTTTGTGTTTGAAAATTTCCATAATTAAAAGTTGAGCAAGTATTTTTTAAAATAATGAGTAACTTCCAAATTAGTAAAGGGAAAAATGTATAACTACAGTGTAAGTTTTAAAACAAGCCGAAACAAAAGCACAGTGTTTAGGGATGCATACACAGGTGGTAAACTTATCAAAGAAAAGTAAGGAAGGGATCACCATCCAACTCAGATAGTAGTTAATTCTAGAAGATACGAGGTGGGTTTTACTGAATACGCAATTTTTGTACTTTTTTGCTTTCTAATGAGTAGCATTTAACATAAATTTCTGTCTTTGCCCCACATTCTTGGCACATCCCGATGGTTTTAAAATATAACACTCCACTGCCTGTTCCGAGTGGTTTGTCACTTCAGTTGTGGTTTCCTTTTTTCAAGCTATGAGTTGTTCAGAAGAAGTTATAACAAATTATTTAGAAATTTTTAAATAAAAATGTCTTTATTTCTTTATACCTTTATTTTTCCTTTGATATTCTTTAATAAAAGTGCTGTATTATGGTCATGGAATAGGGCTTTAAATAATGTCTGCATTTTCAAATTTATGGGAAAAAATTTTTAAGCTGGAGAAATTTTTATTTGTGTTTTCCATATGTATGTTACAGTTCCACATGTGAGTTTTATTTCATAAAAAAATGTTCTGAGCCCTGGCTGGTGTGGCTCAGTGGATTGAGCACTGGCCTGTGAACCAGTTTGACTGGATCACCAGTTTGACTCCCAGTCAGGGCACATGCCTGGGTTGCAGGCCAGGTCTCCAGTAGGGGACGTGCGAGAGGCAACCACACATAGATGTTTCCCTTTCTGTTTCTTTCCTCTCCCCTTTCTAAAAATAAAATAAATAAAATCTTAAAAAAAAGTTCTCAAAGACATAAAACAGACATGAAAAAATAGACTAAAATATGCTAATAATTAGTATGAGTATTAAAAACAGAAGTGGGAAATTAAATGGGAAAAAGATTTTATTATAAAAGAAAATTAACTTTAGTAAAATTTTATTTACCTGATTACATATGTTCAAAACATATCAAGTAAACAATATTAGATAATGAAACATAGTTGGAAACTTTAACACACCTTTTTCAGGAATCAACAGATCAAGCAATCTAAAAACAAATAAGGATAGGGAGGATTTTTAAAAACATTTTTATTAAAAATTTCAAACAAACACAAAAGC